TAATGAGACTTTTCATTATTCTTTTAGGTTTTGAGGTCTTTTATTATAAATAAAACACCTTTTAATTGAATTAAAAAGGAAAAATCTTTTTTTTTCCAAATTTCTAGTCGGCCCCGGGCTTCGGGCTTTATAGTCAGGCCAGGCTCGGGCTCAAGACCTAGGCTGGGCTTGGGCTCGGGCCTAAACATTTTCTGTTAATATAAAGGCAAAGCCTGACCCTGCCCGTCAACAGGTCTATTCCCTAGGAACTAGAAATTTCATTCTTGTTTTGGAACATGAATTTCTCCAGGAACAATGCCAAACGAGACCTAAAGTGATTGCAACGATGATGATATAGTGGTGGTGGTGGTGGTGAGACCGGATCGGATCTGCTCCTCACACCTGGTGCCTCACTAGTGCCTCACACGCACATCCTACCATGCATTGGGAACACCTCCCCTAGTTATTAGTGAATATTCACGAGAGATGTTCCCAATGCATGGTGGATGTGCCTGTGAGGCGCCCATCTGTGAGGAGCATATCCTGTCACGGTGGTGGTGGTATAAGGTGTTGATATGATTCATTGGCTCTCCTACATATTGCACCCCACATGTGCTGAGTTCAGATCTAGTCCTCACACAATGCTCCTTACACTAACCTCACAACATGTCCCAGTAGGGGGTCAATTGGATGGATTTGGTCCAATCTGATCTAGTCCAATGTGAGTCCATTATAAATGGATCAGGTCCAATTCAATCCAATGAATGTTTTGGACCAATTTGGACCGGTCATGTCTGGACCGTGCAATCTATTCAATTTCATTTTGATTTAGATTGGTTTCATCCCAAACCCGGTCCATTAACACATATATTCTTATCTTATATCAATGGACCACATATTGGCTTAATCCAATCCAATCCAATCCTATATAAATTTGTTATGGATGAACCAGGTCCAGTCCAATCTAATAAATATTTTGGATCAGATTGGCCCAATCCAATATGTCTTGTTGGTCTGTCCAATCCGTCCAAATTGATTTTGGACTGGACGGGGTCCAATCCAAAACCGGTCTGTCTATTGACACCCTTATGTTAGGGGTGATCATTTCAGCCCGGCCCCCACAAGCCTAGTCTAGAAATTTCGGGCTTGGGCCTAGGTTTTGTGTTCAGGCCTAACCCGGGCCTACATTAGACCCACAAATTTTAGGGCTAGGCTCCTAGTCCAAAAATTCCGGGCTTGGGCCTAGGTTTTGTGTTCAGGCCCAGCCCGGGCCCGAGCCCACATTAGATCCACAAATTTTAGGGCTGGGATTGGGCTTAATACTTCAAGCCTGGCCCGGGCCTAACCCGAGCCGCATATATTTAAACTTACACATTTTGTGTATAATATATACATATGTATACATGTTATTTTACATTATATTATATATTTTATATACAAATATTATAACATGATATGTATAATTTATATTATATATAATCTTTTATATTATATAATATATAAAATAAGTTTATATACATGCTATGTCATTTAATATAAAATATTATAGATATATAATGTTTTATATATGAGTGACATTGGCCCAAAATCAGGCTCGGCCCGGCCCATACCCGTATAGACTTGGAATAGGGCTTATGTTTTAGGCCCAAAACCCTAGACCAGGCCGGGCCCAGGCCTAAACTATAACCCTTATCATAAATGCAAAACCCAGCCCATGCCCAACCCATGATCACCCCTACCTTATGTCCCAGCCATACACGAGAACATCTCCCATCGTAATATTTATTACTCATGGGAGATGATCCTAATCCTACACGGTGAAATATGACTGTGAGGTCGATGTAAAACGCACCGTGACTAGCAAATCCTAATTCCACGCGTGCCCCACATCAGTGCACCTTTTTTTTTGAGTTAAGACAAAGTACAACACAGGGTCCCAACAACCGGGACCACCAGCCTTTGCAGTCGTGCATTGGAAATATTTCCTTTTCTTCATTATGAAATATTCCCGATGCATGGATGCAATGCTGTTGGGAGCCAGACACCTTTCACCACGAGTGTTATTTGGGGATCCAATCCGGATTCGTCTCATCCTCGATAGCTACAGGTGCTCAATGACAACCAAGGTCATTTCACTAAAAAACGCAGGGGAATTACGTAATTTTCTTTTTCTTCAAAATTCGCGGTATAATCGCTACTTTGTCGGGGAGTCTGTTAAACAAAGCGACGACGCTAATGATCGAAGGTGTTTCGTCTTCGACAAGTGTTCCAGGACAATTAAGGTCATTTCACGTGAAAGTGCGGGGGGATTCCGTAATTTTATTTTTTCTTCAAATTCGCGGTCAGCGAGCTACTTTGTTGGAGAGCGGAGTCTATTAACAAAACCTGCTCTCTGGTTTTCCGAATCATAGAGTTTTACCGAGACAGGGAGAGATCAGAGTCGGGAGTCGGGACAGAGGTCTCATGGCGGCCTACTCTAATGGAAGTGAATACTTCGAGATCGAATTAGAAGCCAGAAACGACTCATTTGTTCGGCCTTCGAACGATGAATCGCTTGCCAAAGACGAGGAGGAACTTATCTGGGCCGCGATCGCGAGATTGCCATCTCGGAAAAGAACGAATGTCGCCATCTTAAAGCGGTCTGCTTCCGAATCTGATAAAGGAGAACGGGCGCAGACGATCGACGTCAGAAAACTCGATCGTCTCGGTCGTCAACTCGTCCTCCACAGGGCTTTTGCGACAGAAGAGCAAGATAATTACAAGCTCTTGTCGGCCGTTAAAGAACGTCTCGATAGGTATCGTACCTGGTGCAGATGTTTGATTATATCGCATCTGTGTTTTCTCTCGGATCTCATTTTCTTCTTTCGCCATCAACTATCAACCGTTGATGACGTCTCTATTTTTTCATTGGATTTCCGTGGTAAAACTCCAGATCGCTAATGAGATTATTAATGCAACAGATAATCAGTCTTCATTCGTCTACACGTTTTCGTTTGTCTTTAATTTATCGAAAATTTGAATTATACGTACCTTTTCTCTTCTCTTTGGACGTGAAACTTTTCTTTTCTGAATTCTGAGAACTAGAGAGATCTGGAGTGAACCAACCGGCCTGAACCGATTAGCTTCTGATTCAATTCATTTCATAAATCTAACATTTTCTGTACTTAATTCTGAGAGACAGGGTAGGATTGGAGGTCCCTAAAGTCGAAGTGAGGTTCGAGAATCTGCACATTTCGGCCGACGTGAAAACCGGAACAAGGGCGTTGCCTACTCTGCTGAATTACTCACGTGACGCATTCGAGGTATGCATCGTGGCGCACTTACATTCCTTTCTTCTTTTAATCAAACTTTGTTTTCTGTTAATTCTCAGTAACGAGACAGAGATTTTCTCTGCTTTGCAGAAAGTTCTTACTAGTTTGAGGATATCCCGTCCCAAAAGACACAAACTGAACATCCTAGATAACGTCAGTGGTTTTGTGAAGCCAGGAAGGTAAATAAATCCCACCTTTGGAGTTCCTACTTCCTCTTCCAACTTTACTTTTTTTTCGACCATTACCATGCATGTTGACGTCCCCAGATTTATATACACGTGGCAAACACGCCACCAAAGTCGCATGTAGCATGTTCGCTGTCCACGTGTCAAGCAATGATTGCTTCAGTTGCACGTGGCGTGGTGTATTCCTATTTCCTACCAAGGGAGACTGAGGCATGATTTGGTCCCACAGTTTGTTAGAACATAGATGCCTCAACACCCACCACCTCCGACGGGTTGCGGTGAAACGGTTATTGACTTGTTTCACACTGAAAGGCACAGGGCCTTTGTGGCGGTTCAGTGTGAAAACGCACTAGCAAGAGAAAGGAGAACCAACTGAGCGGTGGCTCAGCTCAGTTGGTACCTTAGTTGGATTGTTCCACGGGAGATGCGCATTTAGTCTGTTACCACCTATTTCGAAGGAGAGTGATTAGCATGTTGCTGAGATTGGATTCAGTCCACACACAACTGTGTTCACACCATCCTCAAAGCCACTTGTATTCGTGTATTGAGAATTTCTTCATACTTGTGGCTGTGAGAATGAATACTGAATCCGAATTCTATATTGCTGTGCTATTCCCAACAAGAGAAGAAAGGAGAGAGACAAGCAGTGCGTGGAAATGATCAGATAGGGAGTAAATGAGTTAGGGTTTGAAGAGAGGTCGAACAGAAAAGGTTTGGGTCTATTGTAGATTATTTTATATAAGATTTTTTAATTTTAAGGCTTGGAGGAGTGTTACACAATGATCCTAAACATTTTAGTGGGACTTTTTATGGTCTTTTTTTTTTATGGTGGGGAGAGGGGCTGGGGGGGAAGGACCCCCACCAATATACTTTGCTCCCCCCCTTGTTTATGACAATGTAGCCAATAATAATGACACACTTCAGCCATAGTGGGAGATTGAGTTGTGTTGTGAGTCATATAAAATTTAGCTTACATTTGGCATTCTTTATTTTATTTTAAGGACATATATCTTTTTTATAATTAAAAATGAAGTGTTCAGTTCATAGGGGCATTTTAACAGCAAAAAGGAGTCAAGTCCTTAAAATAAGGAATGCCAAGTTCAGCCTTAATGAATTTATGAGTCTTGTGGTGTTATCATTGGTTATACAGCCCCTAATACAGCCCATCAAGTTCTCCAGATTTGCCATGCATGCAAAGTGAAAGATTGACACTCCGGACCAGGTAGGCATACATTGAGTAAGTACTTAGAAAATTTTTTTGACCCTGTCCCTTAAAATACTCTCAATCTATCATTGAAAAGAGCCTGAATCTGCTCCTCACACCAACCTTACAACATTTCTCAGCCTCACATGGGGAACATCTTCCATATTTTGTATTGTTATTCATGGGAGATGTTCCCAATACACGGTGGGATGGGACTGTAAGGTGCATTATATGGGGAGCAAATCCCGATTCCTTAAAAAAGATAAAAAATATCTTTTGATACAGTTGTTAGTAGGGGCGCAGTTAGGGGGGACTGGAGGAGCCGTGGCCCCCTTATGATCCAAAAATTCTCACTTTTATACAGTATTCTATGTAAATTAATTCCCCCCTACCCCATTCTCCACTCCGGTGATTGGCCCCCCTATAGGCCCATCCATATTTATCCCCCTTCCCTTCAAATGAATTTTAGGTTTTGGCCCCTCAAAAAATTTCCTTGTCTCCATCCTTAATTGTCAGAATATTTATCAAAGTGCTCATGTATTTGTAATGCTGGAGATGTGAACCCATTCACACCACAATTCTGTCCACGTTTATCTCAGCCATACATGGATAACATCTAATCCTCTGCATAGTATTACGCAGGGGAAGATGTTCCCAATTCAATGGGGGGGGGGGGGGTAGTGTATTGTGAGTAGGTATGGACAGAATTCTCATAGGCAGAAGATCTGGAGTCTTCACACCCACGTCTAACTATTTCATCAAAAGAAAATAAGAGCAACTACTGTTTTACCCCACTCTCATGATAACATGGCATTCCCAAAACTTCTCAAGTGTAGGCTGTTTTTCCCCCAACAGCCAGAGTGGTGGCTTTGGAACATATACGTTTTATAACTGAGATGGATTGTCATTATTGGTTATAGAGTCCGTAGTACAGCCATGACATTCCGTTAATCAAGACACGTAATCAAAGGATCGTTTTTTTTTACGTGAATACTTTGGGTGGAGCTTACACTTCTTGCGACTGCCAGCAAAACAGACTCCCGATCTCCTACTCTCTTACTGTGCTTTATAATTGGTCAGTCGCAAGACATTCTCGAGTATTAATGGTGATCATGTCTATGTAGGATGACACTGCTTTTGGGGCCTCCTGGTTCAGGGAAAACTACATTGCTTTTAGCTCTTGCTGGGAAACTCGATCCCAGGTTAAAGGTTAGTACACTTCTTCACTATCTTGTCACATGCATGAAATTTGTGTTTGTGAGAAGTCCTGTTTCTAGGCTCAACTCTTGCCTCATGGTTCTCTAGCTCCAACTTTGCGTGTAAAATGGGACAATAATGTTAGGGCAGCTGAATCAAAACTCGATCGGTTGCACGGAGAATTATCTTGACATTTCAATTCGGTTACTATGCCGAGTTTACCCCAATTGACTTATTTTCTGGCTCTCTCTCTCTTCTCATTAATTAATTATTGAGCAAAATATTAATGTTAGTGCTTCAAGTGGGAATTCACATTTGCGCCCCACAAGGGGGCGCCCCACAATGTCACAGCACATCCCCACCTTATATTGGGAATATCTCCCAGTAATGTCTCATTTCGGAAGATATTCCCAGTACAAGGTGGGAATGTACTCTAGGGCATTATGGGGCCCCTTTGTGAGGCACATATGTGAACTCTTCAAGTGGTACTTGTTCATAATTTGGATTAGCAAACGCAATGGCAGTGTGGGATGTGGAACCAGTTGTGGGGACAGGTGGATTGTTATCATTGGTTCCACAGCCCGCTACAGTTACTGAATTTCAGCTAATCCGATCTCACTTACTCCACATTATTAGTTTCTTATGTCTTGTTTATTCCGCTAACGCCATCCGGGTTGAATTTGATAAATAACCATCTGATTAATTACCACTTTTATTATACATATTGTTTCATTACAAGTTTTATCATGGTCGAACCCTGCATGCATAATGCATTAAATCAACTGACCCTTTGGAATCTTGTGGAAGCTGAGCGAGTCTCAGTTTTCTGGTTGTGAAAAGCTAGGTAGAACAGGATCACATTGAAAATGGGAGCAGAGGCAGATGAATTCAAACTTCAAAGTTCAAATGAAACCGTTTCATCCTCCCTTGTGACTTCCCAACAAAACTCAATAGCTTGGTTCTTTTTTTTTTAACTAGGTGTTTTTTTTTACATGTTTAATCAAATAATTGAAACTTTTGATATTTGTTCATGCTATTTTACTTGTTTATTATTTATATATAATAAGAAATAATAGAAAATTAGATGTGGATTTTAGACCTAACCCACCTCACCCTCAAATGCATAAAGGACTTTGCATTTTTATGTGGAGGGAAGGTTTGGATTCTTAAAATTCAACTCTAATAGATTTTGGTGAAGGTACAGGTTAGGAGGTATAGGAAGGCATGTAGAATCTAGAATTTACAAAACCATCCCTACTCCAACCTATTTTGATTTACACATGCTATCAGTTATTAATAGGGGCATATAGGGGTAAGGCAAGGATTTTAAAAAATTAAATAGGCCACAAGACGTCACATGTTAATGGTTTTTAACATTTTAATAACTATTTAGTAGGGTCAGCGCACAAGGTATACTTAAGTGTATTTGTAAAAGTCAGGGTATGCTTAAATCTTTTACCCATTGATTCAAATACAAGAATAATTTTTTCAGTTACAAGAAAAAAGATGATCACAATTTGATTTCAACTTTCAATTCTCCTTAGCTTTAGAAAGAAACTTTTATGATTTGGTTGAAAATGGTGCATTTCATGAATAGGTACTTTTTGGTCTTTCTCCTATTAAGCATTAAATGAAAATATAAAATAACATTTTTACCATGGCTTATTTTTCAACTACCGAACATAAAGTTACTTTCCATTTGTAAATAAACACTAAATGAAAATATAAAATAACATATTTGCCATTTCCTCTTTTCCAATTCTAACTTGGGGGCATTTCACATCTAATGAAAACTCTAGAAGTAAGGATATATAGATACAAGAGTCCTACTGGTTACCTCTAGAAGTAACTTCGGGGTATTTCCACTTTTCCAACTCTAGAAGGATATATAGATAGTATAGATAGTCCCTACTAGATACAAGAGTCCTCAACTTGTTAATATTGACTCAACTCCTCTCTGGTTTTATCCCCAGAAAAGTGGCAGCGTTACATATAACGGATATGAACTAGATGAATTTTGTGTGCAAAGAACTGCTGCGTACATTAGCCAAACAGATAATCATATTGCAGAGCTAACTGTTCGGGAAGCTTTAGATTTTGCTGCGAGATGTCAAGGTGCAAGTCAAGGCTATGCAGGTTTGTTTAATCCCTCCCATTATTATCTATTGTACAAGTTGATATGGTAATTTACTTCCAAAAGGCATTCTGTCTTTGCACTTAAATGCATACAATTTTACGACTTCTCTTTGTTGTGCTGAAGCCGCGTTCGGATCTAGTCCTGACAAGCCATTGCAGCCGGTGTACTAGGAACATCTTCCTAAATGGTTAGATGTACCCGATGTACGGCCGCAATTGCCTGTTAGGACCAGATCCGAATTCGCTGAAGCCTTGCACTTTTGTCGTAGAATTTTACTTGTATCATCTATTTCTCTGGCAATGTGAATATTTTTTTTAGTTGCAATTCTGATGCATGCGGTTTGAATAATATTAGATGCTTGTTATTATTTATATTATGCTTATTGGTATTGAAAGAATGAAATCAATAAGAATCACCAGTTAGGATTACGCGATTTCATTCAACCCAGAAGAAACATGATACACAGCACCGAAGTTATGCAGCTGCAACGACACAGAACAAAAGTAAAAACAGGATTATAAATCTATATTTATATTACTTATAAAAGAGTGAATGTTCTTTTTTTCTAAATTTTTCATTGGACATTTTCTATTCTTTTTGTCTAAACATATAATAGAGCATAAAGAGGGCATATATATCATTTACTCTCATTTTAGAAACTGTCTATGCATTATAAATAATTTTATCTTATTAGAGATATTACTACATGCAAATGCATATACATATTTACTAGTTTAAAAACAGATTCAAAATATCCACTTAAATAGCCTATGGGGAAGAAAACCTAAACCTCTTTGGAGAAAAGACCACCTACCTTTCATATGAATCTTGAATTGGAAAATGATTAACAATACACCAATATATTTAGAAACCAATAGAAATAAATAAAATAAAAATTAATACTAAAATAACTGAAACTAAACAGTTGATTAATTAAAAATATAAAAAATACCAGATAATATGACATAATTAAAACAATTAACAAGATAACTAAATAATATGAATCAATAAAGCATAATTAAATAATAATAACTGTAAATAAAAATTACTGAAATTCTGAAAATAGTAATTAACTAATAAAATAATGTTGAAACAAAAGTTTAGCGCAAGAAAATAATTTTAAAATAATTAACAATGCATTTAAAAAATAGATAAAATATCTAAAATAAACAAATTAGTATTAAAATAGCTTACATATTAATTTCCAATACAATTAAACAATTAATTAATGCAACTAAATAATTGTCAATACATTTAGAAATATTTGTTTTATACGGGGATAGTTTCATCCAAAAAACTAAACACCCTGATGAGCGTTGAGCACGAACTTCACTGATAAACCTCCCCTTAATTTAAGAGAGGGACTCCACATCTGTTGCAAAATTCAAACAAAGGTATTCAATTACGACGAGCTTTACTCCAATGAAGAGTGAACACGTCAGTTTTCCGTGCATAAGGTGTAGGGGTGATTATGGGCCAGGCTTTGGGCCTAAGTTATTAATTAAATTTTTTAAAACATATATAATATTTTGAACTATATGATATATAATATGTATAAAATATATAATATAAAATATTATATGTGATATTTTATAACATTTATATATAATATGAAACATATATTAATATATATTGCAGTGGGCCCAGGACCAAGCCCAAAAATTTCCAGTGAGCCGTGCGAGGCTGGAAATAACTACCTTAATAAGGTGTGAATCTTTATTTGGAATTCGTGTGTCATGAACTGAATAGTGAAGACTAAGGCTGTGTTTGGTTTGAAAGTTATTGATCGAGTGTTGACCAATGCCAGGTGACCTGGAGACCCTGTATGCACGTAACGAAAGGCTTGTCCTATTTGTGCATACAGGGTCAACACTGTTGCCCAAAAGACAAACCTTCCGATATCAATACTGTTCAATCAAAATCTAACTGATTTCATAGATTATAGATATATATTAATATTTTATATTTTAAATTTTAAATTTTAAATTTTTAATATGAAAATATAGAAATTTTTAGTTTAAAATATTTTATATTATAAATTTATTTTTATTTAATTTTTAATAATATTATTATAAATTTTTAAATTTAAATTTAATTTTAAGTTTAAATGTTTTAAACCGATCGACCAAATCAATAACCAATCCAATCGATACAATCTGAGTTTGCCAGTTTTCACTAATGATTGACCAATTTTGAGTGACCTAACTCTTCAACCTGAGCACGTTGGTTCAATTGACCAAATAGTTTACAACCGAATCAAATCAACCCCGAACACCCCAACCTAATTTGCATAGTGCACATCCCTTCTATTTTGCATGCATGCACACGTCATGTACAATGTGGCAGCTTCCCACGGATCGCACCCCACTGACACCCCTACTGCCCATCCCTCCCATGAATTGGGAACAACTCACGTATATGGGGAAGTGCCAATGCATGAGGGGGATGGGCTGTGGGGTGCGGGAGCTCATCCGAGTTTACTTTTTTGCAGGCATCCGTTATAACGATATACATGCCTATTAATGACTCAGGATCTGCTACTCGTAAGTTGTTCCTATATCCATAGCCACAGAGCACCACCACTATGTGTTGAGAACATCCCCCATAAATGATAAGGAAGATATTTCAATATACAATTGTCATGTCTTATGGATAGAGAAATGGGAACATCTGGTGAGTAGCGGATCCGAATTCCTCTTAATTATTTAAGAACCTTTCATGTCCTTGAATGACTATTGAATGAAATTATTCTTTCTTATTTTTCTTCAAGATTGGTCTACAGTTCACTGTGAGAACTGCTCCTTAGCATAACTCGAGGCAAGACCGGACGCTCTTCTTGAACTCTCGTCTTCGAGAAGATATGATACCAGGATATTACCTAAACAAATAATCTAAATTAAAGAATTGTCGGAAATTGTATCTTAAAGCTCTTGCATGTTTGACCTGATTGGCATATACAGCTTTGCAGATATCCAGATACACACACCTACATCATGTATGTTATGGACACTAAGAAACAAAAACAAAAAGACCTGCAAATTGTATCCCTCCCAAGCATCAAATTAAAATGTATTTGGCCCATATGCTCAATAATAACGTTATCATTTTCACAGTGTTCGGAATTTATGTCCTAACTTTCTTTCAATACTTTTATAGTCAGATATGATAATGTATTCTAAAGAATGTCACTGACATTGAGAACTATTTCTTTTACATTGTTATATCTGAAGGCAATGTTCAAAGTGTCAATATATATCAGTCCGTATTGGCCGATACTTATTGTTCCAGGAGCTCTCCGATACACCCCTACAGTAAGTGTATCGGGGGTCTGACCAGTTCAGGGGGTAGAGGAGCCCTAAATTGCCCCTCCTGAACCAGTTGTGAAAAAAAAATAAAAAAAAAAGCATGTGAAAAGCTGTATCAATTTGCCCGATACGTCCATACCGGCATATTGAGCGTATCGATATTTTAAACATTGTTTCAAGGTATAGATTTTTCTACCCTTGAGTACTAACATGTGTTTGATATATTATATGAAGACGCTTTGGAAGCCGATATGTCTGGATTAATTGTTTGGTTGAGATCTGCTGTCAAATAGGGTTTTAATTTTTAGTATTTAACTTGTTTCAGAATTATGACCTTAACTGTTTTTTCTTCTTTTTTCCAGAGAAACCCATAACTGCTAAGTTATACCATTTTTAGACTAACTGAAGTATTCTTGATGGTTTCTCCAAAATCTTTAGGATATTTGGAAGATCTGGCCAGACTAGAGAAGGAAAAGGGCATACGCCCATGTCCAGAAATTGATGCATTTATGAAGGTTTCCATATAAACCCTTCTTTCTAATCCTTTTCACTCATTTTATTAGTATAGTATATTTGTAAGTTTATAACTTCTCTGAAATCTATTGCACAGGCATCATCAGTTGGTGGCAAGAAGCATAGTCTTTCAACTGATTACATCTTGAAAGTCCTTGGCCTTGATGTATGTTCAGAAACAATAGTTGGCAATGACATGATCAGAGGCGTTTCAGGTGGTCAAAGAAAGAGAGTTACAACTGGTAACAGTTTGTGCCTCCTATCTGTTATGTACAACCATCTCCTATCATCTTAACGAAGCAAGGAAATTCTGCTTTATGAATTCTACAACCATTTGTGCACGTGAATCATATAATCAATTATTCACCACCTTTCTTCTCTTTAGTTTGGAAACTTCGAATATTCCACAAATTTACAATCATTGGGACCCCAATGAAAATCCTTTTATATATTCATAATTCTGTTGTTGGGAAAAAAAGTTAGAAAAATCACAAAGGACTACCTTTGTGAACCAGGAGAGCCAAAAGAGTCTCATCTAACCAATTGGAACATTGTTTGCAAAAGACTACAGGATAAAGGGTTAGGTCTGGGAGAATAGAAACTCACTATTAGGTAAGTTGCTTTGGGGATTTGCATTCGATACAAACAAGTTATGGCATATGGGACAGGTAGGAACTCTTACAACTTTTAGATTTGGTGGTGGGATTTTTAAGGTGAATGAAATCCATTGGGTGATATGCATAAAAAATATAGGTTAAGGAGTAAATAGACAGATTTCTGTCCACCAAAAGATGAGGAAGAGATTAGGAAGAAAGAGAAACATCTTTTGCGGTTAGAGTAAAGAATAAAGAGATGTATCAATTGGAAGAAGTGAGAATAGTCAAAAAGAAAAACTTGCAGCAACAAAATTCATTAAACCAAACTTTATTAAATCATATCAACTCTTCTTTTTTAATTACAATGACTTTATTTGTAGTTCTAGTTGTTTTACAACTATGACAAACTCATAGATAACCTATAGGGATACTTAAACAAGGACTCTAACTCCTAAAATGCTAAAACAACTCCAATGACTTAATAGTAATCCTACTAAAACTAAATGTAAAGAAACCAGAAATTATTAAAAATAGTAAATCATGAATTGTACTATAAATAGTCATTACAAAAACTGTTATAAACAATAAGTATGAAACTTACCATAAATAGAAAATTTGATTTTTACTAATAAAAGTATTTTCCTAGAAGATTTAAAATCGTATTCTTTAAGACACCCACATACTAAATATGAATTTAACAACTCATAAAAGCTAGGACTGTCAATGGACTCTAAAAGTTTAACACCCGATTCAACTCTGAATCTAATTATCTTAGATTTAGATGTTAGAACTTGCCTCTAATTAATAATTGAATTGGATGCAGATTTAATCCCATCTGATCCGATAAAAATCTGAGTTCAATAAAAAATTATTATTTTATGTATATATATTATGCATAATTATGCAAAGTTTATAATTGATAAATTTAATATTAATATTTATATACTTTTATTATAAATATATGTAAATTAAAAAAATAATTTTTCTAAAATTTTATTAATTTTATTGGTCATTTTAAACACAATAAGATAGTTGTGAATTAAATCCAAATCAATATGATAATAAGAAGAGGGTATGGATCTAGAGGCTTGCTAACTGGATGGGGATGCGGATGCAACTGCATCCCTTCTGAATCTAATCCAATTACAGCCCTACTAAAAACACCAAAATTTTATATTCCCTTCATGCATAAATTCTGAAATTGATGTAGGTATTGAAAAACTGGTATATTTCTCCATGTATTCTTTCCTTGTTTTTAGTATTTTCATTATTCACATAATGGCTTGGGTAGCAAATGGATGGAAAATTTGCTTGGCTACTTAACTTTCCTAGACCTTCTACACCTAGGTAGATAATCTAAGCTGTCTGTGGAAGTTGTTCTTCTTGAACTCCATCGAAAGACACACCAAGAAAGCTTGCTCCACAAGGAGGTCCACACTATTTTGAAATTGAGCAACACTCTCAAGACCCATAATTGAAATTTCTGCTTATTCAGTACCAACCTCAACTGGGTGCTCCATCATCCCACAAGAAGACAAAGGAAGATATAATCGTTACCGAGTCTACTTCCATGGTAGTCTTTTCCTTGACCCAGTGACCCTGGCTGCTAGGAATATAGGGGCCGCAACAATTGGCCGAAGTGGAATATTGGAGAGATTCTCCCTTGAGTTTTTAAGTGTTCAGATCTGCGCCCCCACAATGTCCCACGGTATATCCTGCCGTGTATTGGAATATCTCCCGATGATAGTATCAGAATCAATGATGTCATTATCGAAAGATATTCTCAATACATGGCAACAATGTACTGTGGGGCACCCCCTTGTGGGGTGAAATGTAAACTCAGCTTTTAATTGATAAATAGCCTCTTCCACACTTTTCCCAATGGGATAAAACCTTAGGAATGAGTTTGATTTCGTCAACCAACAACCTTTACAACCTTGCATCGAAAATATCTCTGTATTTATGTGATTTTTCATGCAAGAGACTGTTTGAATGGTATAAGCACAAGTATGCACTGACGAAATACAAGATTACAAGTGGGTCTGGGCAAAAACAGAGTAGAGGGAGTGTTACTCATAGGCACAATCTCCGTAGTAAAGGGAGAAGTAAAAGGGACAGATTTTGCAAGTGGGTCTGGGTAAAAATAGAAACCCAGATACGGATCTAGATAGGTGGTCCCACATAGGTGGTGTTTGGTAGTGTTGAATCGACCTTCGAACACAAGAATTTTTACTCTTTGGTGTTTCGAGGTTGTTTGGCAGCACCCTTGAATTCATCATCTGAAATCTGAAATTTCCCCCGGCTCATTCAATGAGTCCATTTCCTCCGAATACACTCAGAGGTAGCGGACCATATTTTGTTTTCTAAAATACCCATCCTTCTTCTTCTTCTTTTTCATTTTCACTATGATGAATAGTGGAGCAAACCAGGATTGTCATTTCTGTAACAGGGATATGAAGGTTGGAAAAAAAACAATAAAAAGCAAGAGGAGGAGGGAGAATAAGATACACAGGTAAAACAAATAGAGAGATGGGAAGGGGAGGAGAAGAGTAGATGTGCCCACTTTGAAAACGAAAGCAATAGCTTTTTTGAGAGAAAAAGTAATCTCTTATGTGTACCCCTATCAAATATTAATAAAAAATGATTGAACCCCAACTTGTTTTCCTTCTTCACGTCATTAAACTCCATTTTAATCTTTTTATTTATATATTTATATATTTTTTTCTTTTTTTCTCTTTCTTTATAATTTTAATATTTTTCTATAAAGAAATTAAGATGATCTTTTTATTAATTTAACTTACAATTTTTTTATCATTTTCATTTATTGATTTACCATTTAATAATGTTTTGTATTTATTTCAGGGTGTTTAATTATTTTATTAAAATAGTTGCCATATTTTAGTTATCCTTAATAGTATATTTAATATTTTTTATTTATTGGTTAATAAATTTTTTATATTTTATGTTTTTTAAATAATAAAGGCAAAATTGATATCTTACATGATTTTTTATTAGTACTATTAATATTATTATATTTTATACTTATTTATTAATTTTATTTTTTTAAAATTTATTATTTTTATAATAATAATCTTTTTTATTACTCTTTTAATGTGTATTTTAATCATTACCGTTTTTTTAAATAAAGGGATACACAATTTTCAGAACATTACAACATTTAAATTACCGAATAACTCCACTATATTCATATCACTATATTCAGATATATCTGCAAATGTGAAAAAGCAAATTTTCGACTGAATGCTTTCTTAACTTTTTCGGAGGTGTTTTTGCTTAGACTTCAGACTTCATATTAATCGATCTAACATGCTTAAAAGTCAAACATGGCGCGGTGCTTGTTTGAAATTTGAATAGGACACCAAAGAAACAGTACTGCTTGCCAAAGGGATCGGGACGATTTGGAGGTCTCTCTCTGGAGTATGGACAATTGCTGCCGTTGGCGACATAACATCTAACAAATGAGTCCCAAGAGCTCCTCCACTAGTAGTATTAGGAAACTTTGGTCTTTTGTTCCTTCTTCTGGGACGCCACCATCGTTGTTTGCGGTTGGCTCTGCTCCCACGTCCCTCCATGAGAGGTTGCTGGTTGCCACACATGTTGTTACCACCAAGAATAGGCCTTGCTTGGTCTCTTGACGGTGCCATATGAGAATTGACATGAAAATGAGTGAGTGGAACAGGAGTCGGTGAAACAGAGCTTTGAAAAGGACAAAACCGAGCTTTGTAATCAACCAAAAAAGCCGCATCCTCCACAACATTAATCCTGGGCAAGAACCTTACATTCTCACAATTAACTATAGATTTGGGAATGTCTTTAACAGCTTTGCTCCATATTAACAGATGTAGGGACTCTCAAGTTACTCCAATCGAGGTTTGAAGGTTCTACAACAATGAAGCCTCCTACTGCATCCCCAATCTCTTTGAAAACTGCCGGACACCATGCATGCTGAGGTATTCCGAAGACGCAAAACCACCACCTACCGAAACCAATTTTCTGCCTTTAATGTGCAATGCTTCGATAGCTTCAGTCTCGAAGGATAAAACAAGCAAACACTTGTTTCCTCCCAACCTCCTAGCAGTTGGTTTCTTCAAATTTCTCCAAGAGAGAGCTGCCCAGTTCTCTACCTCTCCTGGTTTTGGGCAGACACCCGAGAAAGAAGCAACCAAACACCGTTGAAGAAAATCTTCCTGTTCACTCACACCTTCCTTGGAGAGGAAGATATTATTGAAACCGGAAACCTGAACCCTTGCGCTTGGACACCTCCTCCAGTCAACTGAATTAAGTTGAATTTTGATGGGTGAAACATGAGAAACCTAGGAATTTAAATCATAGGAGCAATGTCTAGAAGTTGTGTTGAAGCAAATCAATAGCACCATATTCTGGACCAATAGACTAAGGAATTTAGTTAGGGATGAACTCAACTGCTTGTAGTGCTCCAGGGGTTGAGGCATTCCTTTAACTATTTTATGGTGGAACAGGATTCAGTTGTAACAGTTCAGTGTCTCAAGGACAACAGTCCAGACCTTGGCAATATTGAATCATTTGGAGGGAAGTAAGACAACTAGCTAGAGGATGGGTGCTACTTTGAACCTTCACTAAAAGTTCATCCAACTAAATGGCATATGCACTGTCAAAACAAGGAGTCAAGGACTCGATTGTATTGGGAGATTATCCCTAGGAAAATTGGAAGTAAATATGTGAAGTAAAACGTAAACAAAAGTAAGGAACAATAATGGGTTAGGTAGCAAGGCTAGCCTAAAATCTCTTGTGGTGCTTGGCATACTTTAGTTGTATATCTCAAACATTTCTATTGCAAATTAATAATTTTTTCTGAGTTGCGAATAAAAAATGTTGCTATTCACTAAAAGTGTATCCTTCCATGTATTGTAAGAGGGAAACTGTTGGCATGTTTTATACATTAGGGGTTACGTTTGTGTTTTTATTATATCCATACCCATCATGTAAAAGGTATGCTAATGTCTACATTTCAGAGCTTAAACATAGTAGTAATTTTCCTTCAGGAATATGTTGATTAAATTTTCTATGGTTGTTTTCTAATTTCAGGAGAAATGATTGTTGGACCAAGGAAAACCTTATTTATGGATGAAATATCTACTGGACTCGATAGTTCTACAACGTATCAAATTGTAAAATGTATACAAAACTTTGTTCAGAAAATGGAGGGCACTGTTCTGATGGCCCTTCTTCAGCCTGCCCCTGAGACATTCAGTTTGTTTGATGACCTAATACTTTTATCTGAAGGACAGATTGTTTATCATGGCCCTCGAGTACAAGCATTAGATTTCTTTCAATCATTAGGCTTTCAATTGCCACCTCGTAAAGGGGTTGCTGATTTTCTTCAAGAGGTACTGCTATTTATGATCAATAACCTAACTTTTTTCTAAATTCTAAGTCACCTCTGCCTTAACTAATATGTTTTATCTCCAGGTTACCTCGAGAAAGGATCAAGCACAGTATTGGGCTGATCCTTCAAAACCATACAGATTTCTTCCTGTTTCAAAAATTGCAGATGCATTCCGAAATTCTGAATTTGGAAGGAGTGTGAAGGCCACCATTTCAGTTCCATATGATAAAAGTAAGAGTCTTCCTTCAGCACTTGCCTATAGCAAGTATGCTATAACAAAGTGGGAACTTTTCAAAGCATGCTTCACACGAGAACTTCTATTGATCAGCAGACACCGGTTCCTCTATATCTTTAGAACATGCCAAGTATGCTTTTACCTTGCCATATTTTTGCCTCTGGTTTTCTATATAGAAGAATATTAGTCACTTGTAATTTGTAAAATGTATTGTCTGTTTGTGCCTGCTAGAGTGCCACTGCTCAGTGAATTGCTGTCTTTTCCTTTCATGTATTTCATAATTAACTGATTAAACAAATGCATTAATAAGAAAAAAGAGGAAAACAAAGGATACAAATGGGGTTGCCAAAGGAAGGATCTAGACAACAAAACACTGCGACCAGGGATAGAAACAATGGAAGGAATGAGCTCACAACTGTTTTAGACTTTGTTTTGAATTTTCTGAGTGTTATTAATGTCATTTACATATCCTTACAGGTTGCTTTTATTGGATTTGTCACATGCACAATATTTCTAAGAACAAGAATACATTCTACAGATGAGATCAATGGAAACCTTTATCTTTCTTGCTTGTTTTTTGGCCTGGTGCACATAATGTTCAATGGGTTTTCTGAGTTACCAATTACAATATCTCGACTACCAGTTTTCTATAAACAAAGAGATAACTTCTTTCATCCTGCTTGGGCATGGTCCATTCCTAGTTGGATATTGCGTGTCCCTTACTCAGTCCTTGAAGCTGCTGTGTGGTCTTGTGTTGTATATTTCACTGTTGGCTTTGCCCCCGGTACTGAAAGGTAATTTTTCTTTGCCAACCTTAAGATTATAGTCGTTGCATATTATTGATACTTATCAACTGTCAAATATTTCTAGGTTTTTCCGGTTTATGTTCGTCCTATTTTCAGTACACCAAATGGCATTGGGCCTCTTCCGTATGATGGCGGCTGTTTCACGGGATATTATCATTGCTAATACATTTGGATCTGCTTCTTTACTAGTGATATTCTTATTAGGAGGATTTATCCTTCCAAAAGGTTGGGTTAACCATTTTTTTTGACAAGTTGAACAATAATGTTTTCACGTTTTCTTTTAACCATTAAGTGGTTTGTCTCTCCAGCAAGGATCAAGCCATGGTGGATTTGGGCTTTCTGGTTATCACCATTATCATATGGGCAACGTGCAATTTCAGTTAATGAATTTTTGGCCTCAAGATGGATGAAGGTTCTCTTTAGGACTTGCATACTTGGATTTTTGTTAGATCTATATAGCTTCACATTTTGACATATCTCATAAGGACTCAATCATCAGAATATGTCCTGAATACTTTTGTATTTTAGACAGCTGAAATCAAATATACAACTTTTGTTTCCATTCTTGTCAGAAATCTACATATGGAAATTTTACAGTTGGATATAATGTTCTTCATTCACATGCTCTACCCACTGCAAGCTACTGGTATTGGATTGGAGTTGGGGTTTTGTTGGCTTATTCAGTGCTCTTCAATAATTTGGCAACCCTTGCTTTGACCTACCTTAACCGTACGTTTGCAAATAGTTCATGCTTTGTTGGTGCATTTCTTTATATATCACTTTTTCTCACAGCAATAGTATGTGATTATTTATTTACAGCTCTGACAAAGGTCCAGGCTGTGATTCCATTGGATGCCAGAGAAGATAGTTTTGGTGATGACTGTGGTTAGTGCACCTTCTTTGAAATTTGCATAATTATACTTCAACTTTACTGCTACAGCTACTAGTTTCTTGTTGGATTTTCATCTCTGAATTGCTTACTAGATTTTCTTTAGTAAATTATTTTTACAGTAATGATCATTGATAATTGCAGTTATAAGTCAGATATCTAATTCAGAGTCTCCATCTGCTCAACATAAAACTTCAAAGAAGGGAATGATCCTTCCATTTCAACCACTAGAAATGACATTTCATAATGTTAATTACTTTGTTGACATGCCAAAGGTAAATCTGTATGGTAGCTTTACTTTCTTTTATCTCTAGTCAATACATTTCACTCAGTATTTCTTTCATTATAGGAAATGGTTTCAAAAGGTATTCCAGAAAAGAAGTTGCAACTCTTGTCATATGTCAGTGGAGTATTCTCACCAGGTGTTCTTACTGCATTAGTTGGTTCAAGTGGAGCAGGGAAGACCACATTAATGGATGTGCTTGCAGGCAGGAAAACTGGTGGGTACATTGAAGGGGATATTAGGATATCAGGATACCCAAAAGAACAAAGTACTTTTGCGAGAATTGCAGGATATGTTGAGCAAAATGATATTCATTCTCCTCAAGTTACAGTTGAGGAGTCCCTATTGTTCTCTTCATCTCTTCGCCTTCCAAAAGAAGTCAGCAAAGAGAAGAAACGTGTTAGTCTCTGAAAAACCTTTCTATAATTATATATGCTTATTTCAATTTTTTCTTGAAATTAATCCATTGTTATCTACTTTAGGAGTTTGTTGAAGAAGTGATGTCATTAGTAGAGCTTGATAATCTAAGGCAAGCTTTGGTTGGTTTGCCTGGGAGTAGTGGCTTATCAACTGAACAAAGAAAACGCCTAACAATAGCAGTGGAACTTGTTGCGAATCCTTCCATTATTTTCATGGACGAACCTACATCTGGGTTAGATGCTCGATCAGCTGCTATTGTGATGCGTACTGTTCGTAATACTGTTGATACTGGAAGAACAGTGGTTTGCACCATACATCAACCAAGTATTGATATATTTGAAGCATTTGATGAGGTTAATGAGCACCTTAATATGTTTTCTATCCCTATATTATTATTATTGTTGTTGTGATTGTGGTGTTGCTGTATAGAGGACTCTTGCCTTGTACATTTTTTGGGCAGGGATTCTCTGTTTATGAATGAAATGATGCATTACCTTCTGTAAAAGGAATGTGATTTTGATGCAGCTACTTTTGATGAAACGAGGAGGTCGAGTTATATATGGAGGGAAGCTTGGTGAACACTCACAAATTATGATTGATTACTTTCAGGTACTATTGAATTGACTAATAACCTTTTACCTTTAGTACCATATATCATCTTAATTTAGAGAAACTACAGTGGATAAGGATAGAGAGTTTCACTTCAAATTGAAAAAGTAAGTAAAAGCTATTCCATTTAGATCTACAGGTATGTAAAGAACTTGCAAAGGAAGTCTGAAAATTTTCCCAGTTTCTCTTCTCCAACTTAACTGAGGGAAAGCTTTGAATTGGTCATCCTGGATTTCATGAGCCTTAATGCTGTTTGAAACTAAGGGAGGGAGTCTCCATTTACATTATTTTGCATTATGAATTTTCCATGGTATATTGTTTAATATTTGATGCAAAACCTCAAAACTCCATCCAAAAAAATTGCCTAGAAAATCAGAAGTAGCTGCACCACAATCACATCAATTATAAAATCTAAAGTGTGTGTGTACTAAATGAACTTAGACTACTATTGGATTCTTGTAACACTGTTATTGAGAAAGTTATCAAAACTAGATCTGCAAAGAATTGAATGGAGAAGTAATGAAATTTGTAGATTATAGAGGAAAGAAAGCCTGTGATGGGAGAATTGATTTAGGATGGTTCTAGCATGTCTAGAGAAGAGATTGATGGTACTAGGATTGAGAAAGATTGAAGTTGAAGTCTTGAAGGTGCTTAGATATTGGAGAAAACCAGTAGTGGGTGACGACCTTTAATGAGACAAAGTTCAATTTAAAATGGCTCTATAAGTAATGAGATACAATAAGGAGAAGTAAGTGGTGCCTGTGGTCACAGAGCACGTTTCTTGCTTTCTTCTCCTTAAGCTAATGCATATGCTTGAGACAAACTGGCTTTTCATAACTCTACATATGCTATCATGTAATGTCATACTGAGTTTAACCTTGCAAGAATTCAAAAGTTCTATTATGATCTACTAATTTCTCATACAATTCATCATCCTTTGAACATTCCCATTGAACAGACACAAGGTGATCAGTTTCTTGCCAAAAAGGTTTCAAAGTAGGAAAGTAAAGAGACAATGGTGTCTCCTCCTGTTTAAGACTATTCACTTGAATAAGCATTTGACATACGTTTTCTACATTGACTGCTTAGGAATATTTGTTAGAGATGCTATTGCAAATCTCTTGATTCATCCATAAGTAGTCCTTATGAAGATGAGGTTGAATGGAACTTATCAACGAGGAATATAACCATAGTGTTTTCTACATTGGTTGTCCATATTTTAGATCCTTCAGATCTAGTGCCTTCTCTTATCCTATAATATATACTAACTTATCACGTCAACCGATGCACATATGAGTAAACTGTGCCCATACCTAGCAGTTGTATTTTCTTGATTTAATTTAGGAAGAAAAACAAAGAAAGAGGAAAAGATGTGAGAAGAAAAGAGGATAAGATAAGAAAAGGAGCACAATGTTTGTTGAGAAAATAAGAGTGGACAATCAACTCTTTTCATTCTTATTTCATCATCATCATCATCCATGCCTTATCTCAATTATATGGGGTCAACTACACGAATCCTGTTTTTCCAATCAGTTCTATTTAAAGTTGTAATGATTCATGGAGAGTGGGAGAGAAAGGGAGAGAGAGAAAGAGAAGAAAAAAGGGAGATACGATTGAGAGGAAAAAGATCCTACTGGCAGCCACCAGTTTTCTATTTATATTAACTTAATAAAAAAAAGAATAGAAATTACAAGTATGCCCCTGGTGGCACACCCTAGAACCAAACTAATAAAAAAAGACAAGTAACTAACTGACAGTATCTTAAGAAGTCAGCCTACTAGCAGCAACTATAAAGTAACAATTAAATAAGCCTTACAACAAAAGTCATATCCACTATTGAATTATTAGTCCTTAAATCATTTCTTACTACTTCTATCCATGTCCTTTTTGGTCTACCCCGGGCTCTTCTAGCCCCTTCAATGTATAACAAATCACTTCTTCTAATGGGGTGAGCATTGTTCGGTTAAAACCGAAAAACCGAACCAAAAAGTTCGGTTTTGGTTTTTTCGGTTCAGTTATTTCAATTAACTGAATTAACCAAACTTTATGATCTCTCTCTCTCTCTCTCTCTATATATATATATATATAATATATTAACATATAATACATATATAATATGTATAATATATATTACATTGTATTATATTACATATTAAAATATATAAGGGTCCGTTTGGTTTGCGGGAATAGGGGTCCAGAATCGGAATCGGAATGGTCCAACTGTTTGGTTGGGTGGAATCGAATCCCATTCCCATTCCTGGTGGAATAGAATTCCCCCATAATCCATTCCAGCCAATTCTGATTTCAGATTGAACCAAATGGACCCTAATTTATTATACTTATTGTATAATATATATTCTTTAATATATAATACATATATAATATCTATAATATATATATATATGTATATATATTGATGAAATTCGGTTTTAACCGAAAACCAAACCAAAACTTTTGGTTTCGGTTTGGTTTTTCATTTAAAACTCAGTTTTAAAAATTTCGGTTTATTCGGTTCAGTTTTTAACTGAATAAACTGTTTGCTCAACCCTACTTCTAACTGGCGCAGTTGGGTGGTCTTCTATGCACGTGCCCAAACCATCTTACTCTACTCCTAGGTTCCTACGGATAACTTCATTCCTAATCCTATCCTTTCTAATTTTTCCACTCATCCATCTTAGCATTCGCGTTTCTGCCACATTCATTTTTTGGACATGTTTCCAACTAATCTAAATGGTATTCGCCTATCACATAAAAGACCCCCTCCATTTTTCCCTTATTGCTCTAATTCTTTGGGTGACATCCTCCTTAATCTCCCTTGTTATGAATTATTGAATCAAGGTACCAAAAATGGTCACATTGAGTTATCTCTTGGTCTCCAATCCTAAGTGTATCTTGATTTATTCTGCTATTATTACTAAATTTACATGTCATACACTCTGTTTTAGTCCTATTTATTTTCAAACTTCTTATTTCTAAGGAATTTGTCCATAAGCTTAATTTTGCATTTAATCCTTCCTTAGTTTCATCAGTTAAAAGATGTCATCTGCAAAGAACATGCACCATGGAACTTCTTCAATATGTTTAATCAATTCATTTAAGACCAGTGCAAATAGATAAGGGCTAAGTGATAAACCTTGGTGAAGACCCATAGTAATTGTAAAATTTGAAGTCTCTCCCATTGGTGTTCTAACATTGGTCATTGCCCCCTCATACATATCCTTAATTAGGTCTATATACCTATTTTGAACCCTTCACTTTTCCAAGACCCACCATATTATCTCTATAGGAACTCTACCAAATGCCCTTTTCTTGATCAATGAACACCATATAAAGATTGTTCTTCATCTCTTTGAACTTTTCTATCAATCGTCTCAAAAGAAATATATCTTCCATGTTTTAAGTTGTAATTTTTGTTTAATTACTCTCTCACAAAGTTTCATATTGTCATCCAGAAGTTTAAGCCCCTGATAGTTATTACAACTTTGTATATTACTAGGGGTGCAACTTGGGCAGGCCCAACCCAAGATCGAACCAGCCAGCCCAAAATTTTACACGAGCTGGGCTTGGAATTTTGGTCCTTGGGCCTAAGAAGTCAGGCTTTTTTATTTTTTGGGCCGGGCCTGGTCCTAGCCCTTAGGTAGCCTAAACTCATCCCAACTATACACATTTATATATACATATGTATATATATGTAAATTTTGCATACATATTTACATACATACATACATACCATGTATACATATTTGCATAAATACATACACACACATACATATGTATGTATGTATAATTTTACGGTGGGTTCATTGACCAACTTGAGCCCGATCCCAACCTGAGTGCATCAAATTACAGTGCAGGCTGGGTTAGGTTGAGAAGATCAGGCTTGACCTTGAGCTCGGGCCTTAAGCCCAAATTTTTGGGTTGGGCCCAGGTTGACCATAAACCCGACCCAACTTGCCCAACTTGCATCCCTATATATTACCTTTGTTCTTAAATATAGGCACCATACCGCTGTTTCTCTAATCACGTTTCTATAATACTTTCTAAAGTAAGAAAGCTACAAAAACTTCAATGGATGTCTAACATAGAAAAAGACATAACAACCAATAAAACAAATCTATCAAAAGACACCTAAAACTATTAATCTCACACAAACTTTTTGAAGAAATGACCATATCCTAAATGTAGAAGGGGAAAATAGTTAATTACAATTTTATTGTAAATAGTAATTATGCGAATAACCAAAAGTGCCATCTTTAGAAAGTACCATAAATACTAAGTTCACTTCTACTAAAAATAGTAATTTCATAGAAGACTTAAACTTAGCATTACAACCACCTAGCACCTTCTAATAAATTTCCCTCTATGGGTTTCTGAATTTGTTGTAGTAGACAAATCCGGACTGTAATCAGTCCAATTCTTGATGCAGATGAAGAAGAAAAAAAAACACTGGCAAGAGAAGAAGAAGAAGAAGAAGAAGATGAGAAAAAGGAGTGATAGGCCTTAGCTGTCGCCCCACTCATCTATTTACAATAACATCAAAAGATAAGATAACTATTACTTTAAAGCCCCTACTGCTTACATAAGCAAATAACTAATAAACTAACATTGCTAACAGTAGCCTAACAACAAATATAAAAAGAATTAACTAACTGCAGTAGTGGGGACTATAATAAATAAAATAACAACACCAGTTATTGCTCTACATCTCTACACTCCCCCTTAAGATGGGAATAGATAATTATCATTCCCAACTTATGTAAATCTGTTTGCAACTTAGCTTTTGTAAACTGCCTTGGTGAAGAGATTAGCAAGCTGCATGTCGGAGGCAATATTTGGAAAACACACTTTTTGAGAGGCAACTTTCTCTCTGATAAAGTGTCGATCCACCTCAATATGTTTAGTTCTGTCATGCTGTACTGGATTGTGGGCAATGTTAATAGCAACCTATTTATCACAATATAGCATCAAGGGTTTCTCATAAGCAATTCCCAGTTCTTCAAACAAGGACCTCAACCATAATACTTCAGCCACACCATGTGCCATAGATTTGTATTTTGCTTCAGCACTGGGACGTGCTACAACATTTGGTTTCTTACTCCTCCAAGAGACAAGGTTGCCTCCTACAAAGGCACAATACCCAGAAGTAGACATTCTCTCATCAACATACCCCGCCCAATCAACATCTGTGTAGACTTCTATCTTCATGTGACCATAATTTTTGAAGAGTATGCCTATGCCTGGACATCTCTTCAGGTAAGCAAGGATCCTCTCAACTGTAAGAAGATGAGTGGTTGTGGGAGAATGCATGTACTGGCTAACCACACTGACTGCATAAGAAATGTCTGGTTGAGTGAGACACAGATAAAGCAGTTTCCCTACCAACCTCTGAAACATAGCCTTGTCTTCTGTTGCTAGAATTAGTTTTTTTATTTCTGCTGTCAGGGTGCTGTCAGCATGTTCTTTTCTTTGTTTAAGTTCTTATTATTAGGGTGGCCCACTAGAGGCATGCTTGTAATTTATGTTTCTTTTATTTTACATCATGTTAATACAAATAGGAAACTGGGAGCCGCTAGCTTCAGTTTTTGACTCTCAAATACTTTTTTCTCTTCTCTTCTCTTCGTATCTCTCTTCTCTCTTCTCTCTTCTCTCCTCTCTCTCTTCTTTCTCTTCTAGAAAGAAAAGATGGTATCAGAGCATAACTCTGGGCGATAGGAATCTATTTTCTCCTCTGAATCACATTCCTTCCACCCAGAAATCTTCCACCCAGAAATCTTCTGACTCTTGGACAGTGAAGGCAGAAACCCTAATCGGACTGATCAGAACCATCAACTGTTGCTGTTTTTTTTTCTGGGTTCTTCCTTGGTCGTAGCACCAAGGTAACCCTAGTAGGAGGGGGCCGGTGCTGTGAAGGCTCTCTTTCTTTTGGCTGATGCTGTGAAGACTCGGTCTTGGAACTGCACTTTCGTACAGGTGCTGTACAGGGATGTGTGATTCCCTTTTTGGTCACAGGTATGTGCTGTGATTGGTGATGTGTGTTGTGCATAGACCAATGATAACTGAAGTCTATTTATTTGGAATATTCCTGGACGGTTTGAGTGCTGCTAGAGGATTTCAGCAGTGTAGTTGTTATTTCTGGACTGTTTTGGAACTGTTTGGTTGAGGTCCAATTTCCTGGATGGTTTGATTATTGCTAGAGGATTTCAGCAGTGTTTTTTGGACTGTTTTTTTGAACTGTTTAGTGGATGCCATTAGATTTCAGCTGTGGGTCCTTTGTTTCAGAAGCAGATTTCTGAGTGTTTAGTGCCCTAATTATAACTGTGAGAATTAGTAGTTGAGTGGGGATTAGTCTTGTGCACTTGTGGTTTAAGTTTTGTCTTATATAGCCTTTGTTTTTGTCAATGGCAAATGGTGATTCTGCCTCATATGGGGTTACATCAATCCATAGTACAGCTGGTATGGGAGCTGAAAATATGATATTTCCTATGCCAATTACTCCTTTGAATGGCCTGAACTACCTGGAGTGGGCTAAAGGTGTAAAACTTTACATAACAGCCAAGGGAAAAGCCGGGTACATAAATGGAAGAGTGGAAGAACCCAAGAATGGGATAGCTGAACATGATAGGTGGGACCAAGAGAACAGTATGGTGATGTTCCTGGCTTCTGGCAGCCATGGAACCTGATGTGAAGAACTTTATGTGGGCAAACACCGCTAGTGAAATATGGGAACAGGCTGAAACCACTTATTCTGAGCAGAGGCACTATGCTAAGATTTACCAATTACAAGCTGAATCCTCAACCTGTAAATAGGGGAACCGTAGTTTGTCAACCTATTATTCAGCCCTTACTTCAGTATGGAAGGAGTTGGACTACTATCAAGCTATATAATGGAAACATGATGATGATGCTAAAGCCTATAAGAAGTTGGTTTCTCAGCAATGGGTTTTTGCTTTCTTGTTGGGACTAAACCCCGTATATGAACCTCTTAGAGTTCAGATTTTAGGGAGTAAAGAGTTGCCTTTAGTTCAAAAAGTTTATGCCCTGGTTCAATCTGAGGAAAGTAGGAGGAGTGTGATGGTTACAATTGAGGGGGAGCAACAGGTGGCATTAGTTGCAATGGGTGATAACAATATGGAAAAGAAAAATGACTCCAAGAAAACTGATGATAAGGATAAGTTGTTCTGTAGCCACTGCCGACGTTCAAGACATACACGGGACACACGTTGGGAGCTCCATGGGAGGCCAAAGTGGGCTGTAAAGAACCAAGAACAGGGTAAGGTGCAGGGTCAGAAGAAGCCTAATACAATACATAATGTGGCAACCCAAGATACTCAGTCCGGTGGAGTGTTGACTGGTACTGCTCGGGAGTACTTCACTGGTTTTGACCCCAATGAAGATATCATGAATTCCTTCCAAAATCACTTGGAATCATATGGTAGGGCGCCAGATGGACAGTTTAGTCACTGGTACCCCTTCTACTTCATTTGCGTCTACATCAGGTAATGTAGTCTCTGCCTTCCATGTATCCACTGGCCCTGATTCCCCCTGAATCATTGACTCAGGGGCCTCCAACCACATGACCAGTAAGCCAAACCTTTTCTAGTCTTATAACCTTTTGTCAGGAAGGGATAAGGTGAGACTTGCAGATGGATCATTCACCTCTATTGCAAGCCAAGCATCAATATCCCTTCCTCATGGACTTAACTTGAATAATGTTTTGCATGTTCCTCAACTTCCCATCAATCTGCTTTCCATTAGTAGTATCACAAACTCTTTAAACTGCAATGTGACCTTTTTTCCTGGTTCATGTGTTTTTCAAGATCTAACTTTTGGGAGGACAGTTGGTAGAGGAAGCTTAGTGGATGGTCTCTACACTCTCGACAACAAGGCCGGTTTCTCGGTGTCATCTTCAGAGTCGCTTAGTCAATCAAATAAGAGGCAATTTTTTTTGTGGCATAATCGATTAGGTCGTGTCTTTTGAAATAATGAAGTCTTTGTTTCCTCATTTATTTAAGTCATGTTCAGTATCAGATTTCCAGTGTCAAACATGTCAATTGAGGAAGCAATGTAGAACAACATTTCATTCAAGTAATAAATGATCAAATTTCCCTTTCCATATTGTGTATTATGATGTGTGGGGGCCTACTACTATAACTTCAGAGGGCGGGTATAAGTACTTTATCACAATGATTGATGATTTCCCCTGTTATACATGGGTGTTTCCCATGTGTAGTAGAGACGAAGTTCCAAAGGTTGTGCGGGATTTCCAGATGATGGTGTTTACACAATTTCATGTTGAAATTCAAAATTTTCAATCAGATAATGCAAATGAGTATTTCCATGGTGAGCTCAATGAGTTCTTTGCTTCACATGGATCCATTCATAGGACCTCATGTGCAAGAACACCGCAAAAAAATGGTATTGCAGAGAGAAAGAACAGACACCTCCTTGAGGTTGCACGAGGGATGATGTTACACATGAATGTACCAAAACGTTTTTGGATAGATGTTGTGCTAACTGCTGCTTATGTCATCAATTGCATGCCTTCCAAAGTGCTGAACTTTAAGGCCCCTCATCATTTGTTGTTTCCCCAATCTCCTTTGTTTTTCATTCCCATGAGAGTTTTTGGTTGTCGTGCTTTTGTCCATGATTTATCTCCGTCTCGTAGCAAGTTAGACCCTCGGTCTATTCCATGTATCTTTCTGGGGTATCCCTCTACTCAAAAGGGTTACCGGTGCTTTAATCCCATTGATCATAAGTTCTTTGTCACTATGGATGTCTCCTTTTTTGAGTCTGAACCATTCTTCCCTGCTTCCCCTTAGGGGGAGAGTAGCGTGGAAGAGGANGCTAGGAGAGTGACTTTTGAACATCCTCTCTTCTAGTCTGGCCGAACACTCTTCTCCTCTCCTTCTTCTTTCTCTTCTCTTTCTTCTGTCTTCTTCTCTACTTTGACCTAGAAACAACTAGGATTTATTCACAGTCCTCTCGTGTAGGACAGGGTTGCTGGCAATGTTTATTGCAGCCTTGTTGTCACAGTAAAGGGACATAGGACTATGAACAACTCCAGGCTCCCCTAGAAGATTCTTTAGCCAAAGGACTTCAGCCACCCCATGCGCCATAGCTCTATATTCAGCTTCAACGCTTGAACTTGCTACCACACTTTGTTTCTTGCTTTTCCAGGTCACTAGATTTCCTCCCACAAATGTGCAATACCCACTTTTGGATTTTTTGTTATCCACAGCTCCTGCCCAATCAGCATCTGTAAAGACTTCCACCTTTAGGTGATTATGTTTACTGAATAGTAGGCCTATTCCAAGATATTCCTTCAAGTATCTAAGAACTCTCTCTGCTGCCTCCATGTGTGGTTTCTTAGGAGAGTGCATGAACTGGCTTAGGACCCCAACAGAATAGGCAATGTCTGGGCGGGTCATGGACAAATAAATCAGCTTTCCCACTAACCTTTGGAACTATTTCACATCTTTTAGAAGTTCACCAACACAGTCACCTAACTTGTTGTCAACATCCATGGGAGTATCTGCCGGCCTTGCACCTAGTTTGCCTGTATCCTGTAATAGATCAAGGGTGAATTTCCTTTGAGAGATACAGATACCCTTTTCTGAGCAGGCAACTTCAATCCCAAGGAAATACTTCAGGGGACCTAGATCTTTCACTTCAAATTTAGATGCAAGGAATTGTTTCAAGTTCTGTATCTCTGAGCTCCAACTTCCTGTAATGATGATATCATCTACATACACTATCAATACAATAACCTGTTCCTGACATCTCTTCACAAAAAGTGTATGATCAAACTGACATTGTTTGAAGCCCATCTGTTGAACTGCCATGTGAAACTTACTGAACCAGGCTCTGGGAGACTGTTTTAAACCATAAAGTGACTTTCGCAGCTTGCACACCTTATTTTCACTTCCCTAGTTATAGAATCCAAGGGGTTGAACCATGTATACTTCCTCCTCTAAGTCACCATTCAGAAAAGCATTCTTTATGTCCAGTTGATGCAATTCCCAATCAAGATTAGCA